TAAAAATCTAAATATAAGATTTTTATGTTTTTCTACAAGGGGGCTTGGATGGTAAAACAGTTTGGATTAATGCGTTCTTGAGGGACAGGTGAAGGAAGGAGGATAAAGTTGGGCAGCACAACATTAGGCTTTGCTCATTAAAATAGTAGAGATGTATTACAATTTAAATGTTCTTTATTGATTTTCATTTCATAATGTTTTCTTCTATTCTTTTACACGATGATCCAAGTGCCAATATCAAAACAGTGGATCCAACCAATAACAAAAGGCTAAATACCCATATTGGTATTTTAATTCAACCCCATTTGCCAACAAGGTATTTTAATTAGGAAATTCGGCGATAAGACATTTTAATTGAATAAAATTATCATTTAGGTCCTTTTTCTCGTCGGCGGCCACTTTTCCGACGAGAACCCATCACGTGCGTTGCACGTGGGTGCTTAATCTGTGTTTAAGAGCTGATGTGTCTCTGTTTTCTGACGTGGCAGGGAATTAACTCTCTCTCTCTCTCCTCTCTCTCTCTCTCTTTCTCATCTTCTTCCCCCTCATTCTCAGATCCACAAAGAACCCTCTCCGACCGTCGCCGGCAAGCCAGCACGACCGCCTCCATAACGGGGTTCGAGCTGAGGCGGTGAAGGAGGCTGACGGCGGTGAGGAGATGGAGGCGCTGGTTGGGGTCGACGAAGATGGGAGGGAGGACGTCGGAGGGTGGTTGATGTGGTCGGTGGAGGCCTGGGTAGTGCTATCGAGCGGGGAGCTCGGGGAGGAGACGGAGTTGAGGGTGGCGCGGTTGAGAGAGTCGGCGATGGGGAGCTGAGGGCAGGGATCTCAGGCGGCTGGACTTGGTAGCTGAGGCGGGTGAGGGCTGACGGGGCGGTGACGGTGTAGTGGGAGGAGAGAGGGAGAGCTTGGGGCGCCGGAGGAGTTGAGGGCGGAGCTCAGGGGTTTCGGCAGTTGGAAAGCGAGGTGACGGTCGGAGAGGGTTCTTTGTGGATCTGAGAATGAGGGGGAAGAAGATGAGAAAGAGAGAGAGAGAAGAGAGAGAGAGAGAGAGTTAATTCCCTGCCACGTCAGAAAACAGAGCCACATCAGCATCTTAAACACAAATTAAGCCCCCACGTGCAACGCACGTGATGAGTTCTCGCCGGAAAAGTGGCCGCCGACGAGAAAAATGACCTAAATGGTAATTTTATTCAATTAAAATGTCTTATCGCCGAATTTCCTAATTAAAATACCTTGTTGGCAAATGGGGTTGAATTAAAATACCAATATGGGTATTTAGCCAATAACAAAATGAAGATTTCCTTCTCATGCTTTATTCACTGTTCATGTTATATAATAAAGTTCCGAAGGTAATCTTTTAGGTCTAAATAACTCTACTTTTCGTATGCATCTTATTATTATTTCATCTCTTAAAACATTCAAAAATGTGAAAATAATTAATTGAACATTACCATAACCATGTGAGGGGTGCCTTACCTGAAGGTGAACTCACTGAAAAGGCCAAGCTAAACAAGAAGCTTACAGCAATCGATTACTATTGGACTCAAGGTTTTAAATATCGGATATCCGGGGACATATCAGATGCCAAAATCCATATCAGATTGTGGATATTAAGGGAATATCAGGGAATAGGGATATGTAGTAATTATCGGAGTGTCATATCGGATGATGTGCACATATAATATAATATCCTAAAATATAATCTAAACATACTTAATAAATCAAAAATGTAAATAATATATGTTTAAAATCACTAAGCAATTGTTGAAACTTAATCAGGGAAAATAGCCTGCTAGAATTTGCTAAAAAAACTTCACGGGCTAGAATTTTTGCTAAAACCCATTAAGGAAATTCCATAGAACTATATTGTCTTGCAACAAGCCATACAAAAGGACATATCGGCTGATTTGTCAGCCATGTTGAGAACATAACAACCAAAAATTGCTAGAAAAGGGTAAAGAATATTGAGACCATATCATTTCATGGCAAGCCTTATCAAAGAATATATCGGCTGATATATCGACTGTATCAGCATATTTAAAACAATGGTTGAACTAAGAACAACATATTTTTAAAAAATATGGACTTCAAGGTTTTTGAACATGGACAGGATTAATAAGTCACTTATGGTCATAAGTAGTTGTATCTAGGTGTCATAAACCCACAACCTTGCCTCACACGGACCTTCAACCTGACAATCCTAAAAAGACACAAGAATGAGGAAAACAAATATATTTAAATTGCTTATGATTGAACCAGGACTCTTGGAAGTTGTACCAAGTTAGAAAATAACCTATGTTACCTGGGTACTTCTAATCTGAAGTTGAACCCTTACTAGACACATATTGTACTCGTAACCAAATTCCTTGGACGCTCCTTGCATATATGCAATTATGCATACATTTATTTAGACATATACTCAATTATACAATTTGTGTTTTAATTTTAAATATTTGACATTCATTTTGTACATATATCCCACACTTCACATTCACTTCTTCAAACTCTTTGGACATGAGTCAAGTTCCAAATTATGATTTTGAAGGGTAGTTCGGATGTCTAGTTCAAAACTAGTGATTTCCAATTTTTAATCAACATAATAAAATAAACATAAAATTGTCAAAGGAATGTCAATTATCATCACTGTTCATATAAAAATAATTAATTCCAATATATAATATATGTGTATATAAATATTTATATAGTCATGTCCCCTTACATTTTATAAATTTATCGTGTTAGTACCAGTACCCATACCTGTACACGTACCCATGCAACATAGAAAATAACTATATCCAAAAGTTGAACCTAAGGGATTCTGGAAATGCATTTTAACAAGAATTTGCACTTAAAAACCAAAAACAACTGTCAGCAATGTTCCTTATCAGATATTACCAAATAAAAGGAAGAATAAGAGAACATATCCTCATAAGAAAAACATGAGTGGAAAGTAATATCAGATAAAGAACATCCAACAACACGGGCATATTTATTTTGTTAAAACATAAAAATTCCTAAGAATGTAATTATTCTAAGGTGACATGAAGCCATCGATTATGTAATAGAAACTTACTTGAGATAGCCTGCTGGACACATTTGCGATAATCCACAAACATAGCTGGCAGGAAATGGTCTTTCAGAAAGTTCTCCACAAAAGCTAGCAGACCATCATTTCTGCAATTCTCAGAAGTCAAGATCCAAATTTTCACCATTACAATACCATATGAAAACATCATTTCTTTGTAGAATATATAGTTTACAGAAGTGAAATCTTCAAAATTGACTAGTAGAATGGCTGATAAAATCAAAAAAATAAGTAACTGCAATTGGACGAACATACACCGCAAATTTATTGATAGAGAAGCAAATACTGGCACACAAAAAATCTAAACAAAGACTTCAGTTACTCAAGTAGATGCTAAAGCATGCATGTCTGACAATGAATGTCTAGTGATGAACATGATGTTGTCTAGAGATTAACATGATGTTCCAAACCTATTATTTCCTAACTCCAAAGGAAAAACAATTGAAAGCATGGTTATTAATTTTGTTACTTAAAAAAACAATAATTGAAATGTATGCTTCTGCTCTTATCATATAACAGAATTAGGCCATCACTGAAAGAAATATGAAATAAATACACACATGAACTTAGGGTTAATGGTCCATGGAACTATAAAAGTGTATAATGTATTATCCCACAATTATCTGAAACATCCACCAAGTTTGAAAGCAGTTTGAATCCTTTATCTCTATTTAAACTTTGTATAGTGTTATTTCTTCCGTTAAATTATCAGTTATCATATCTATATTTACAGCTAGAACTACCCTGAGCTAAGCGAACCATCAATCATTTACTCCTAGCTATTTTAGCCATTGTTCTCAGTGGCATGTCAAAACAGACTGAGACAATTTTCCATCATCTTTATGCATATTATTGCTACCTCTATCTTCCCACAAATGCCCAGTTCTTCCCTTTTGTCATGCTCTCCATTAAAGTTATTCATTTCAGATAGACATCTTTACCTCATGTTCTTTTTTGATTGTAAGCTATTCAGACCTATAAAGCATGGACTATCTTATAACCAATTACCATGTAGTAGAACATCTCTATCAGTTTCATAGGCACTTTCCACTTTAACCATAGACCCAAAAAAAACTTCTAAAGATATAATAAGGAGGAACACTCGTCCATAGAAATTAAAAAAAATAGAAATTAAAAATAAAAATAAAAAATTGTAACTCTTAAAATATTTCTGCTCATCAACATTAATTATAGCCGCTGTTCTCTTTTTAATCATACTAAAGATTGCAACTCATATGTAATCTTTGACCTATAAAGTGCTTTAGAGTATAGTGATTGTCCCTATTTTCTATCCTAGGCTTGATCACTTCCAAGGTTATTGACGGTGGATAGCAACACATAGCGGTGAGGTACCGATAAGGCTATTTTGGGCTATAGCGGCGAAAAACGTAAAGTCAAATAGCAGTCCAATTTAAGTATGTATAAATATTCAAAAAAAAGGAAAATTAAAGAAAAAACTAAAAATTATATAAATGCATATTTCATGATTTTCAGAGATCCTAAGGACGAAGAGGACTTAGTGAGCTTCGAGTTGGCAAAGGCGGCGTCGAAGCAAGAGATGCAGTCAGAGAGGGGTATTCTGGGGTTGAGGTGGAGTAGTTGGAGAGTGAGAGGTTGAGGTGGAGGGTAGTTGGAAAGGGGTTTTGGGATTTGAGGTGTCGTAGTTGGAGAGAAAGAGGTAGAGAGGTGTAGTAGTCAGAGAGGGAGAGGAGGGTCGCCAGCAACGAAGTTGGTGAAGGAAGAGGAGAAGAGGCGGCGGAGTTGGTGGAAATCGTGGGATTAGGGGTTTTTTCGTCTTTTGAGATTAAATCGGAGAGGGGAGAGAGAGAGAAACGAAGCTAAAGGGGTTTTAGTTAATTACGGATTGGTACGGGTCGAGTTTGAGTTGGATATCAAACTAAGAATCCATAATGAAAAGTGCTATTAAGCGCTAAACGCGACTATTGTGAGCAAATAGCGCAAAGAACACTATCTTTCACCACTTTCGTCAATATCATTGCAGGTAGTGAGCATTAATGCAATTTGCGGCGCTATAGCAGGGTTATTGGGAGCTATATTCAACAGTGATCACTTCTCTAGTGTGATAAACTAGGGCAATGTCATCAGCCTACGTCATATGCCCAGAAATCTAGCTCATTGAGCTTATGATCAATGCTGATAGAGGTGAAGGCTTACTGCTGAAATTTGTTACAAACTTCTAGAACTAGGGAAAAGTTTTGAAACTCTTCAGCTGGCCGCACACTGGTTAATAGATCATTCATGCCCTTAATTTTCTCAACGTAACTAAAATATTCTTTTCTAAAATCGAGCAACAGTCTCCTGAAGGACAAACCTGTTCAGTTTCACATTAATAAAACCATATTGCAACCCTTTTTCCCTTCTCTCTATTTATCTCGATCAATTACCTTAGAAAGATAGAGCTTTCATGGACCTCTCTATGTCAGAAATGATATATCCATGTCCTCAGGAAACTCCTTCCTAAATTTTCATATGTCCAGAAGGTTTTCCTATCCTTGAGAGTCTAAAAAACTTTAATTGTATACAACAGCCGATGAAAATGCAGCAATTCTTCCCCATTCATTTTTCCTTTTGCTCATCTAGGATAGTTAACCATTTCAGGCGTTCACCACCTATCAGGACCTATACCTCTGCCTATTGACCATCATCAAAGGATCCATCACCTCAGTAATCTTCATTTTTCAATAATACATACATTAGCTAGCCTCGCCTATGAAACTATGAAACATGAGGCTGTTAAATAAAAAGTTAAAATTTCAACATGATATGCCACAAGTTTTATACCATTAACAGTCTGTACATGGCAGTATCTCCAATATTCATAGCTTACAAAAATGTGCACAATAGTTTTCCTTTACTTGACATTCTATTAATCTTCAGATTTTTATTAACTAAGATGAGTTATAGATAAGTAGCCATTCTACAACTGCATCTCCCACCCATCCCAAACTCCATTAGAATATCACCAAGATCCTATAGCTCTGCTAGGTTCTACCAGTTTCAAAGCATCCATTACATAACTATTACTGATTTTTTCAATAATACATATTACATGATTTCATATAGTTTCTAAAACTTACCTAGTTTCACTTGAACCTATATGCAAAAGTTCAAATGTTCTTCTTGAAAAAGTTTTGAGCATTACTCCTCTCCCTTCTTTAATTTCCTCTTCCTATTCTAGATCTCCATGGTCAAAATTAACTATATACCTTCTCTCCATGATCATGATAAGCTGGTATACCATTTGAACTTATATCTAAGGAAAAAGTTTTGAGCATTACTCCTCTCCCTATTCTAGATCTCCCTAGTTTCTAAGATACTTGTATCTTTCCAAATGTTAATAAGGTGCTTCATCTGGCTGAATTACCATTTGAACTTCCTGATTCCACCACCATCTTCAGAGAGAAATTAACTATATAGATTCTCCCAAAGTATCTTATGCATCTTTTTCATTCAATTAGATAAATCGTCCACATAATATTAGTTTGCTTATTTATATTCCACCACAATCATATATTACTGCACCTTAATTAAAAGAAAAAATGGACACTAAGTCTGTTTTTAATTCCCTGAGGGGGGGTATAGAGTTCAAGTTGACCAATATTACAGAAAGCGCTAGGCGGTCTAAGCGTTTGACCCAATGTCTAGCGCCTAGGCGGGAGCATAGGCGGGTCTAGGCGGTTTTCCTATTTTTTATTTTTAATTATAACGATTGATAGTAAATACCAATGTTATAGAAAACTTAGGTGTCGGACTATGGCCTAGAGGGACTTTTTTCTTCGTTTAAGTGGTGGTGGAGGACCTTTTGCTAAAGGTAGGAGGAAGTAGAAGAGGTGTTCATAGTTGAAGCCTAGAGGAGTTTAGAGGTCGAAGGATGTGGAGGTTGCAATGAAGGAAATCACGATTAAAGCCTAAGGGGTGCAATCCACATAAGCACTCCACACGCTCCTAGGCGCTCCTGGAACCTAAGTGGATAACCTAGGTACTGCCTAGGCGCTAGGCAGGCGGTCTAGTACCACCTAGGCCGAGGCATACGCATAGACAGGCTAGGCGGAGACTATTTAAAACATTGAAGTTGACAAACAATATAGTCTCTTTGACTCTTTCCTACATGCATGTCACTGCTTGTCAATTTCCAAATGATGTCTTATTCATATTCTTCTGTGAGTTTGTACATGCATCAAAGGCAAAGAGGGCTTAGAAGAGAGTCTGCATACAGTTTTTAGCTCATCTAATCCAAAGAAACTCCTTATAGAAACAAAGAGTTGGAGCAGAGTAGTTCTTGATTTTCATGAGCATTATAGAATCATGAAACACGCCAAACCACTTCAACAACACAATTTAATTCTATGAAAAAAATCCTATTCAGACATGATTATTTTATCAGAGTTAAACCAAGAAACCAGAATGGTCGGCAATCGGTTTTGGATAGTAAACATAGCAAATCAGACTCAATGCAAAAATAAAATTAAGGAGTCACTCCCTCATGAAAAGAGAAGAAATCCAACCGTCAAAGGATTTTGTGGGCTCACACTAAATTACTAGGGCTCATATCGGATGGTATTCCTGTTGAAGTTTGGAAACATTTTAAAAATATAGGCTTAGGATGGTTGAATAAATTATTTTATTGAGACAAAGAGAATGTCCACTGAGTGGAGAATTAGCACTTTGATACTGACATACAAGTATGAAGGAGATATAACAAGTTGTTCAAACTATCATGGTATTGAACTTATGAGTTATAGTTTGAAACTTTGGGAGAGGGTAATTGAGCAAAGACTAAGAGATGAGACAATTGTATCTGAAAACCAATTTGATTTTACTTCCGGAAGGTCAACTGAAACCTATTCTTATATCGAAACAACTGATTGAGTGATATAGAGAGAAGAGAAAAGATCTACATATGGTTTTCATTGATCTAGAAAAAGGTTATGATAGATTAGAGTGCCTAGAGATAAAATGAGGTGGGTTTTACAAAAGAAATATGTATGTAATATATATATTGATGTGATTAAAGAAATGTATGATAGAATAACAACTAGAGTTAGAACAAATGAAAGAGAGACTAAACCGTTTCTTATTACCATCGGTTTACATCAAGGGTAAGCCTAAGTTCTTATCTTTTTGCATTGGTTATAGACCAACTGACTAGACATATTCAGGAGAAGTCTCATAGTATATGTTATTTGCTAGTTATATAGTACTAGTTGACGAGAATAGAAAATGTATAATTTTTAAAATAGAAAGGTGGAGTCGAAGCTCTCGAAACTACATATTTTAGAATTTGTTTAAAAAATAGAACACTTGGGATGTATTTTTAATAAACTAAAAAGAGAAAAAAATCTATAATATATGTTGATGGTCAAGAAATATCTACAAGTAATCATTTTTGTTACTTAGCATCAGTCAATATTCATGATGATGAGATTGAGGATCATGTTGTCTATCGAATCGAATCAAAATGGTTAAAATGGAGGCGTGTTTGGAATTCTTATGTGATCGTAGAATTCCTATGAGATTACAGGAAAATTTATGTAGGACAGTCATAAGATCAACAGTGCTTTATAGATTAGAATGTTGAGCAATTAGAAAACATGTGCAAAAAATGAGTGTAACAGAAATGATAATGTTACGATAGTCTTGTGAGTATATATTAAGATAACATAAGAAAAGAGTGCATCTTTAGAAAATTACAGGTTCTTATAGATGATAACTTGAGAATCAACTAACACGGTTTCGTCCAAGGTTACAAAAAGCGCTATGTGACCTAGGCGTTGGACCTGACACCTAGAACCTAAGCGGTTTTATTTTTTATTTTTTTATTACAATAATTTATAATAAATGCCAATGTTATAGAAAGTGTAAGTACCAGACTAGCGCCTACGCAGATTTATTTCTTTGTTTAAATGGTGGTGGATGAGGTTTAGCTGAAGGTTAGAGGAGGTATTAGATGTGTTCATAATTAGAGGTTGGAGGAGTTAGAGGGCGTGGATGCACTCCACATATGCGGCCCACGCTCTCCTAAGCGCTCCCAAAACCGAGGTGGGAAGCCTAGGTCCTACCTAGACCTAGGCGCTAGGCGAGCAGCCTAGGTACCGCCTAGGTGGGCTAGGCGTAGGTTTTTTAAAACATTGGTTTGGTCATATACAACAGAGACCTTTTAGTGCACCGGTTTGAAGAAGTGATAGTATTATAGTTAATGGAGCAACGAGATTTAAAGGTAGACATAAGAGAACTTTGTCGGAAGCAGTTAGGAAGAATCTGATAATGATTAACTTAACAAAAGAGAAGACTGAGAATAGAACGGAATGGATGAATAATATTCATGCAGTGACCAGCTTTGCAGTTGTTGCACACTACAATGTATATCACCTGTAATCAACTCGTAGAATGTTATCAACATCTAATCACTCTCTCCAAAATTACAAGAGCATTTATACACTAAAGATCAAATTCAATCTTCAATTCTAAAATCAATGCTTCAAATCAAATATTAAACTAAAATTCAATCAAATATAAAATCCTAAACTCAAATCAACTATCTAATCTCAAACTAATAGTAAACTCTTGAATTCTAAAGAAACCATGACTCTTCCAATTCTCCAAAGTTGCCCAAAATCAAACCTCTTCGTGTTGGAGAAAACTCAACCACACGTTTTGAAGTGGCATAAATGAAAATCCTTGAGTGATGATAAGAGTGTCGAACAGGGCTTCAACCTTCAGCTCCTTAATGTTTTGCGTTTGATACATTCAGAATCCTAATATTCATGCACGAAACGAAGATACCAATTTATGGGTAAGAAAATTATAAAACAAGGTCCAAAAATAAGGAATCGCATCCAAGATAGGGAATGACACCATCATCAGCAAAGGAAAAGGAATCAGGGCTACAAAGGAGTTTGTGGTCTTACATCAAAATGCAATTAACTTACGAACAACGCAGAATTTTAGCACAATCAAATCAACCTCTACATTAAAATTACAAGCGTATCTACAGACTAAAATCAAACTCAAAATTCAAAGCAAATAAGTAATCCTAAATGAAAATAGAATGAGGTGACTCAAATTTAATCCAAATAAAAAATATCCTAAATCCAAATCAAATAAAATATCTAACCTAACCTCAAATCAAATATCTAATCCAAATCCTAAATAAACTAGGGCTCTTCCAATGAGATCAGACTTTCACTTTCTCTACAATTCTCTAAAGTTCTTGTTGTACTAGTCGTAACAGATATTTCGTAACAGATATTTCCTGATGCGAAACGAAACAGGGGGGTCTACAGAATCAGCGATTTAATTTGAACGCATCGTTACGCCAAAATTCATGATATTCGGTAGGAAATTAATTAAAACCAGTTAAGGTGACCGATGGATTTTAACAAGATTTGCGATGATGACCATAAACAATTCCAATCTCGAATAATTTATTCGCAATATCAATTATCATTTTCGCAAGTTCTAAGATCAAATCAATTTTTCAGCAGTCACATATTCAGTTCTCTCAACTCACAAAAATAGATTAAGCAGTGAATATATGATAATAGTTTAGAGATTTAATACGCATGCAATTAACTGACAATTATAAGATTAACAGAAAATTACTGAGTTGAGAGTTTACTATCCAAAATGCCGAGAGAAACCCAAAAGCCCATTAGAAGAATTTCTTTCAGTGAAGCCAAGATCCATCATATTAACAAGCCCACATATTTCATCAATATTTTCTGATTTCTCCTGTGTTCTTCTTTGATCTCAGGAAAAGAAAAGAAGCCTCTGTCATCTGTGTACTCGGTCGCAAGTCCAAGTTGGTCTAACCAAAACCAAAGACAAGTGAACTCTTGTTGTCTTCTATCAGAGGGAAAGAAAAACTCCTGTGACTTCCGATCTGAGGGAGGGAAGTAAATAGAGGAGGCAGGGAGGGAAAGGCGGTGGTGATGGGGGTTTTGACGGAAAGCAGGGGGTTCGCGAGGGCGACGGAGAAGTGGGGTTGGGGTGGCGTTGGGTGCGGCTGCAGGAGGAGTAAGAGGGCAGGGCGACGCTGAGGAGGTGGGCGCCTGAGGATGGGGTGCAGGAGATGACAGAACAGGGAGGGAAGGGTTGAGTGCGTCTGCTGGGGAGAAGAAGAGGGCCGAGGACGGCGTTGATGGTCAGAGGCGGACGAGGGGAGATGGGGGCGTTGCTTTGGAGAAGGAGCTGTAGGTGGGGGTTTCTTGGGAGGTCGAGGGTGGATGAGAGCTGAGGCAGGGCGGTGGGAGGTTGAAGACAAAGAGCAGGGGTTCGGGAGGGGAGCGGTGGCGTTGTTTTGGAGAGGGAGGGAATGGGAGTTAGGTTGGGTTGCGTTGCTTGGAGGAAGAAGATGAACAGGGTTGATTTTTTTTTTGTGAAGAGAGAGAAGAAGTGACGGCTGGGAACAATGAACAGAGAAACAAAATTGAGCTTAGGGTTTCACACCCATGGTTTCACACCAATAAGCCAATACAATTTCATTTCAATTTTCATTCATCATTTTTTCAAAAATCTGATTACAGAGCTCTTTTATAGAGCAATTACAATCCCACAAATCACTCTAACCAATTATTAACTTCCAAATCTAAACCTAATTTGAAATTCAAATCTAAACCAAAATTCAAAATTCAAATTAACTACTAAAAAAAACTAAAATAATTAAAGTTCAACTACAAATAAAGAAATGACATTATTGTCCTCATCATTTCCTCACCATCATTTTCCCTCGTTCCATGGCATAATCTAGAAAAATCACATTTAATGTTATCTTCATCCTAGAACAACAGTGTTTATACTGATTCTTCCTATCAACTACACAAATCCATTTCTCCTCTGTGCTACATGAAGGTCACAGGAGAAATGAGGCATGAACTCCACACAACTGGTAACAAGGTAAACTTTTCTTGCAAAAAATAGTGCATCCCAGCTAGCTATAAATTACTAAACTAGATGAGAAGAAAAAAAATGTAATGTAATCTTCAGTATCATCAGTAATAACATTGAAAACATAATTGATTATGTATTAAAAGAAAAAATGAACAAATATATAAATAAGTAGTTGAAAGAAGGAGACAGCTTTTAGCATACCCAAGCTGAGAATATTTTTGAGGAAGCATAGATGCGACTTTGTCAGTAAACTGCAAAACAGCATCCGTTCAGCATTTGACTGTAGAAAACTATTTCTTGCAAAACAAACTTTTCAGGAGGCATCACTTATGTTTGAATGTCAAACCTGAAGAACAGGCCGATAAACTGAAGCGGCAAGATAAATTCCTTGCTCCGGAAGCACTGCTGATGTACCATATCCTTCTTGCTGTGCATTTGACCCCTTCCTCCATCCTTGACCTGAACTTCGTGAGACTATTTCAGTTAGCAGATTAATCACAAAGGGAACTGAAGATAGTTGAGAGGAACAAATGCTTCACGCGGTGTGAAAATTTTAACTATAATTGAACACTAGGTTGAAGCGTGTAGATTCTATATATACAAAGTTAATCAATACACTTTATTTCTGCTAGTTTCAAGAGATATTTACTCGAGTATATTTCTAAGGGCTATAACAATTAACAAATTATAGTCCAGAATGCATAGTAGATGACTACCCTTAATATACCATGGTCTTTCTACCAATATCCAAGTAGCAATTTAAGAAATGTAGAGGAATGCAATGGTCATCATACTGTCCTTGTCCCATCTTGACACTTCTATCTATTCATCAGCACACACACAAATACACACCCCAACACTCACACGCACGCGCGTGGGGGCGCACACACACAAAAAATAAGGAAAAACCATTTCCATCTGTCCGCCAACCAACATCTACTGCAGTAGTGTTGCCCAAATAGGTTCTGCATTTCCGAAGAGAAACCTGGTACTTTCCATCCAATTACTTTTTCTCTTTAAATCCTTGAAGTTTGATCTGTCTCACCAATAACTCCATCAATGGAGGAGCTTCAATTTGATGAATATGCTTTTAATCTAGCCATGAGAAGTCAGAATTGGTTTGGACTTGCATCCCCAACATATGGACAACATACATAGCACAAACTGAGCTTTTAAATTGTTTACAAAAGGTTGTTGGCAAAGATTTACATCTAAGGCAAGGTTAGAACACTTGGTTTCGGTTTATTTCACATCTCTAAGCTATGGGTTCAGCAAGTTTCAACTGTTTCAAAGGTTTCTCTATTATAGTTTTCCGTGCACGTAGAGAGTGAAAGTTGAATACTTTAATGTATAAACTATAAACAAAGACCCTCAAACATGAGCAATAGCTACGATTCATAAGCAGAAATGTTACAGTTTCTAGTTAGTAGAAGCTCAGGAGGTACTCGTAAACAAGTCCTTCAACAAATCTATTGATTTTGTTCCAGTTGGATACATTTTCAAATAATAATAATAAATAGGATTATTTGTAAACAGGACCTATTTAAGAAGTCAATTGGGCTAAAAGCTCCAAAACCATCTTAACACACTGATCTGAGTCGCAACCTAAGCGTACAAACATCTAAATCCACCTGTGAAGGCTTCTGAGCTGCCTAAACTATAACTTGACAGTTGTTTCTCACCCAACATTCAAGTTTGAACATAGCTATCGGTTCTCAATTATTGCCATTCTAATAAGTATCTCAAATCGAGCTTGACGGCTGACCACTTTGAGACCATTGATCAAGAGATTGAATGACCTACCGAGCTGATAGAAAAGTCAAAGCAAAGTGGGTAAAATCCTTTCTCAGCTCGTGGATAAACCAGATTTAATTTTTTTCTCAGGTAATTATTATGACACCCCCTCATTTTTGACCGCGTATTAGGAAACCCTCTACAGTTATATTTTCATCATAGAACCTCCTGCTGTTAGTTTTACTGTTATCTTTAAAAGTGCATGTGCAAGTCACATGCATATTTATTTCCCTAAACTATCCTCATCTTCCTCCTCTCAACAAAATTTCCTTTTCTCATTTTAATTTAAAAGAGCATGAGTTCAAGGGAAGTGCACGAGTTAATCTCCAGGCTTCTTCACATTCTTCCAAGGAATTTCTATTTTACTTTTTTCCTATAGATGATACAATTTGTTGTTCACTTGCAGTTCAGGAACTTAGTTATGTCAGAAAACAAATTTAACGGTGCTCTACTGTATATCACCCAAATTAACATTAATTTTAAAGCTATTTACTTTTTATATATAGATGATAGTATTTGATTCCTGCGACTAGATTGAGATGTGGGTCCACAGATTTGGGTGCTGCTGTGCTCCAATATATCACAGAAATTAAGGAGGCCTTTGTTTTTCTCATTTTTGGTTCAGTTATAAAATGCAATTCTCACCAAAAGTTTATTATAAAATTTCCATCAAACATGTATTATACATGACAATAAATTTCCTTTCAGAGTTGGATCCAATAATAACTTATTTATAGTAGAAAACTCCCTAAATAACAAAAAAATGAAAATCTAATAAACTCTTCAAAAATGAATACATAAAAAAACCACAACACAAAACATCAACCAAAAATTACAAAAAAAATAAATCAATACCAAAAAGTTTGAAAAGATTAGCCAGAACTTTAACTGATTCAATATATGATACAAGAAAAGTGCATTGTCAGCTTTTGAGGTAAAGAAAGAAGAGAGGAGTTTCATAATATTTTAAAGAAGAAGAGGAGAAGAACTATTGAAGGGTATTTGAGGAAAATAAATGTGCGTGCACATTGCACATGCCAGTTTAAAAGGAACTTAACAGTAAAAAAAGCACCAGGGGTTCTATAACAAGAAAGTAATGTTTGAGGTTTCTAATAAATGACCAAACTTGAAGGGGTTTCCATGATAATTATTCTTTTTTCTCTTTCATTTCCTGTCTCTTTATAATCTGCTCAACAGTTTTTTTTTTCTTTTTTCCTTTCAATTATTTTCTCAAAATTGGGTTTCAACGTTTCTCAGAAACTCAAGGAGGTTGAAAATACAACCAAATCACTGAAACGATGACAACCATGCTGGAACTGGACACTACCTAATATTTTAACTTCGAGAAACCCAATTTTACAGTGTTTCGTTCGGTACCCTTCAAAATCAGTATGCGACTAAACTAGTACTTTTCAGCTGAAACCTCATTCCTTCACATTTACATCATTAAGAATCATCCTTAAAGGTTATCACAGCAACGGATGTTAGAGGGACACAGTGGGAGCAGTGGAAGTGAACTGATGCAATCTAGTAGTATTGGGTATATCGTTTTAGAGATTATTAATCTTTATTAAGATGATGTCGGATAGTTTTGCCTCCCATATCACATAATTTACAGAATCCTGTGGGACTTTGGTTGGGTCAGTAACTCAGTCAAAGGTTATATGTCAGATACGGATGTTAAAGGAACACAATTGGAGCAGTGGAAGTGAACTGATGCAACTTACAATGTAGTAGGTCTTCTTTTGTCCTTTTTTTCTTTTTTCTCTTTTTTTTGGGAGTAAAAGAATCTAGTAATATTGGGTATATGTTTTTAGAGATTATAGTCTTTATTAAGATTATGTCGGATAGTTTTGCCTCCCATATCACATGAGTTATAGAGACATTAAGGCTAACATTTACTGAGTCCAGATAATAATGTAAGAAATCTGTGTTTGTGGAGACTGACACCTCAAATATCTCTTTTGCGCTCTTTTCTTCTCCTTCAATGCTTCCATACATGTGCATTTTCAAATCCTCAAAACCAATGTTTTAAATATCGGCCGATAAACCGATATTATCGGCGATTTATCGGTTTTGGGGCTTTCCGCTATAAGTTTGATTTTAAATCGATTATCGTTTTTGGGTGTTTATCGGGGATAATGCGGCGATAAAGTGAGTTATCGGCCGATATTGTCAGCTCAAAATATCGGAATTATCGGCCTTTGGTTTGGGTTTGGGTTTGCTCTTTGGATGTTTAAGAATTATAAACTATTTGTTGCTTTTGGAACTTAGTTGTTTAGCGATTAGCTTATGTTTGTTTATGAATATTGACATGGCTCATAACTATTAAATCTCAACTTAGTAAGTTAGTTTATAATCTTGTGATTACGCAATAATTATGTTGATGATTCTTCATTCTTTATGTTATCTTGTTATTTGCATGTATGTTATTCCATTTTTACGAACTATGCACTTAAATGGTTTCATCGTGCGATCAAGAAGCAAGTTTCTACCATTGATTAGTGATCCCAAACATGATTATTTATATTTTGCTATGTTTATATTTCATTAAGTATAGTTAGATTATATTTTAGGATATTATAAATTTATAACATGTATATACACTATCCGGTAATATCACTCCAATAAATACTACTTATCCCCGATATCCGTTATCCGATATGGATTTTGACCGTCCGATAAATCCTCGATAACGATATTTAAAACCTTGCTGAAAACTAAGGATAACTCTTTAGAGTGTTTCCCTGTCTTCAGTAAAATCAACTAGTCCTACTTTTATCATCCAGTTATTCTATTGTTAAATTAAAGATCTTTTTTTTTAATTTGTAGAATCCAAACCAGGACTTATTCAACGAAAAGTTAAACAACTACTGGATGTGCACTGCACAATCCATAGAACTTAAATCAACCAAATCTAATTGTGTTCCCTGAACATGCCAATTTTTTAAAGGAAGTGAAAAATGATAAGGTTGACTTCCACATATTTACTACTTCCTTGTAATATTTCTTTCTAGAACTAAACATGATAAACATGAGAAATTAGTGTCAGCCAAATTGTCTAGGGAAGAGATGAAGACCTAATTCTAACTGCTCACCCAAAGCATATCCATACAAATTTAGTTTATGGGTTTGGATCCTCAAGGATCCATATCAGAAATCAGTAAGACAGTGGGTCTTCTAATTCAAGTATGTAACACAATAACCTATATGATGTGCATTCTAGGATCAAAACCTGACAGTCTACTTGAATCCAGTAGGATGTTACGCAACGGGAATCATTGCAAATCTACTTGTAAGAATTTAAACCAGCAGAATCCAAGTAAAACATGTGTGGCCAAATACCATGATTAGTTAAACACTAATGTGAAGTATGTACCAAAAGAACATATTTTCATAAAATGCCCTTAATATAAGGCTTATTTTCACTTTGATACCCCAAAGTTTACATGTTTTATCACTTTGAAAGTCCAAAGTTTATATCCCCAAAGTTCCACTCCTGTATCTGCTTAATAGCCTTTTGTTTTAAGTTTAAACAAAAGACTTAAATACCCCCTCAAACAAATTAGCAAATATAATTGCATCATTAATACACAACTTCAACACAGCAGCACGTTAATAATAAGAAAATCTAATTACAAAGCAATTTAGCCAAGTTATTCTCACTCAAACCCCTCTCTATGCCATGGACAAAATCTTGATCCTTAATTCTTTATAATCAAACCATCCTTATGCCCCACTCAAAATCCAAATGCCCCAATCCCTCACAATCG